CTTTACAGACACTCTACATCCAGATTGACTGAACTCGACGGTAAAAGAGTCTCTGGATGTAAAAATCTTGCAGATGCATCCATCCACCACTTTGCATCTCACATTAAATCACAATAGAATACATTCAGGTTTGTGCTTATAACACGGTAAAAAGTAAAATGTTTTAAATGCAGAGATTCGAATGTGAGCGAATGTTTTCTATCCTAATATTTCCCCCTTGCTGCAGCTACCTGCACAGCAGCCATGAGATTGTGTTGCGGAGGAGCCATCCTGGGAGCTGGGGCTTCAGCATTGTTGGGGGATACGAGGAGAGCCATGGCAACCAGGCATTTTTCATCAAGACCATCGTCCTCGGCACGCCTGCATACTACGATGGCCGCCTTAAGTGAGTTTACTGTGATTGTCGCTTAGAGCAAAACTGCTTAACTTTTGATCTATATATTACCTAAATTTGAGATATATTAAATGAGTTTTTATGTGGCTTCCTGTCAAATGAGAGGGTCAGATCCCTCACTCCATAAATCATGTGACCAATATTGCTCCTTTACAGCAGTCTGAGCTCACTTTGAACAAGAAGACTAACTAAGCTAAAGGTTTTTGTTAAAACAGATATGACACTTACCTGATCAGAAATATTTTTGGTAGGATTTTATCTAGTGAGGTAAAAGTTGCCTAGTAACTCAGTGCAACTCCATGACTTCTCAGTCAGGTGGTCCAAAGGGGTCTGCTATTAGTCCACTGATTCATTTTCTGACAGTGCAGTTACAGGTCTAGCGCCCCTAGTGGCTAAAAGTTACACAGTCAGAGAAACAGGACTACACTGAAAAACTCCGGGATGGTGTCACAGCCACATTGGAAGAGACCATATAAAGCTACTATGACATGAAAATTTCAAACAAGAAATGAAACAAATAGGGATTAACAGTAAGTCATGTTTATGTTGTCATAGTGTGGTGGAGGAGCTGAAGAAGAAATACCTGTTTTCATTATGAGAATGCACAGCATCGAGCTAAAAACATCTCTGTTAATAACAAGGACCGCATGTATGTCTCTGTGAGCTTTAGGTCTGTCTTCCTCACGTTGATGGGGTTCACTTTTCCTTTCTTATTCTAGGTGTGGAGACATGATAGTGGCAGTAAACGGCCTCTCCACTGCAGGAATGAGCCACTCAGCTCTGGTGCCCATGCTAAAGGAGCAGCGCAGCCGGGTGGCGCTGACTGTGGTCTCCTGGCCCGGCAGCCTGGTATAACCAGGACTAAAGCCAGCAGGCTTCACCCAGAATGTTCTAAATTGGGGAGCAACCTCGGCCAAATGAACTGGTGCATCCTACTGTACATCGCTCCATATCGGGCTTAATCCAGGACCAAACACATCCAGGACTGTTGAAGACCCAGCAGGACCAAGTGGGGGGAAATGATCCAGATTGTGCCACGTCACTCGACAGACTGCACTCCTAAACAGACACTGCTGTGTTTCATATGGTCATGTCGTCTTCACTCCCAAAAGGAGAGTCGTGCTCCAACTGTTAACATGCAGTTTGTGCTGTGTTCACCTCACTGAGCAGTGGTAGAACCTCAGGGTTTTATTCAGACGGAGGCATCATTGGAAGTTGGTAAATAAATAAAAAATTGATTGAACAAATCCTCTTGTTTTGCTGCACCAGTGATGTTTCCATCTGAATGAGCCCAAGGCCTTATTATAGAAAGCTGCCACATCCTGAGGGAGGTCAGCCCTCAGGTATCACCATACAACCAGCTGACCTTTTATACATGTGTGAATGTGTGTTTGTTTAATAAACGTTTCCTTTTAAAGGAAAAGTGACTCCATTACTGAGTTTGTACCTGATGAAGATCTGGTTGATGAAAATTACTGCCATAAATGTTTCAACTCAGATGAACAGAAGAGCTTTAATGCTTCTCTTTTTCCCCATTTTTTGACTTCGATCTAAAAACGTGAATCAATTAGATTTATTGCAAGCGATCAACTCCATAATAGCGAAGAAGAAAAAAAGTCAAAACTGCTTAGTGCAAAGTTGTACATGAGTAAAAAGACAACATTAAGTAGTCCTGACTGCAACAACCAAAGGGGGAAACGTTACATTTGGAAGATGCAGCTATTGCATAATACTAGGGTCACTTTATACACTTTGATACACACACACTGCACTTGACACCATTTCATTAATGAAACATTGTAGCAGCATTCTGCTGTGGGGAAGCTTTTCTCAAACTGGGAGGGAGAATGGATGCATCTTAATGCAGGTAAATAAACCTTAATAGGGTAAATAAAGGTACCTCTAGAACGAGTGTGTAGGGAAGGCCATATTCACATTTATTAGCTTGACTGAATACATATTTCATATATCTGAAATGCATTTCTTTCTAGTCAAAGTAAACATTTCAGATATCCAATATAAAATTCTTCCTATTTAAAATAAACCTTTCAGATATCTTAAATATAATTCTTACTAATACAAATTACATCACATTCCCCATTTATGTCTAATGAGCTTTTACTTGCTGATATTATAAACATTCTTCCTATCTAAAAATTTTGATCAGGATGAACTCTAATTTCAGATCACCATAATACAGCTAATACTAATTATGACAATATCAGACATTAAAAAAGGAATAGAACAATCTAGATATCCAGAAATCTATTTCTTGACATCAAAAATATATTTCTACTAGTAGAAATATTACAGATATAAACTGCTGATATATGGCTCGTTAAATTAGAATTCCAGATATCTGAGTATTTATTCTCCATGGACTCTGTTTTTACATAAATTAGGCAGGCTGACTCTCACATTTCTATTATAGATAGCACCAAAGCATTCTACCTAGTCACAATCGCATTATACTGTAGATATAATTACATTTCTGCTGGCAGAAATGACCTATTAACTAATCGAAATCAAATTTTTACTAGTAAGAGCTGCATTTTATATTTACCCATCCATGTGTATCGGGCCGTCCCTTTTGGATATCTGAGATGAGTTTATTCCTATCTAAACATTCTGGATGTCTAAAAATTAATTTCAGATCTCTGTATTTCAATTGGTACTGGCCATGATTTATTTTTTTTTCCCCAGATATCAGGAATGAACAAAGCATTGCAGATATATAGGTTATAATTTCTGACGTGGAATATATATATTTTTACTAGTAAAAATATCATTGATATCTATAGCTACAGCTTTACTAGGAACAATATAGTTGTAGATATCCATAATTGCAGTTCGCAGGCTGTTTTGACATTTATTATTCTCTCTATTATTTGTCTCTGTTAGTACATTTCTACAACCAACAGCTGGGCCTAATTTATCTAATTGGAATGCAGGGATGTCCTGCATGTTTACAATCCTACTAGTCAGAACTATAAATATGGATATCCTAAACTATGTTTTTGCCAGCAAAAACTAAATTTCAGGATGCAAAAAAATATAACTACTAGTAAAAATAAAGTTTCAGATACAAATAAATCTTTACAAATTTTAAGGAGCCATTTTTTTTAAATGTATTAGGTTTACTTGATAGAAGAGAAAATCCCTTTATCGTCCCACAATTGGGAAATTGTGGTGTTACAGCATTGCAGCAAAAGTGGTCACACAAATGTGGACCTTAAAAGTGTATAAGTATAATTATATATATATAATTATATAGTGGCAGAGTTAAAAAGAATACTGAACTGTACAGTGTGTTTACAAATATACTGTGCAGTCTCCCGATGAAATCTGAAATATGTATTTCAGATCTCTCAAATTAATTTCTTTCTGGTCAAAATGTACATTTCAGACATCTAAAATACCATCGTATCGCTTCTAATAAATGTCTAATCAGCCTGCCATAAGGGAGGTGTCCATGGTGGATTTGCGTTATATCCTGCAACCTGTGCGATGAAGGGTGGGGAAGCAGCCAGCGGTGAATCCCACACCGAGATTTTTCACTGCTCCGTTTTCATCTCATGTTACTATAGAATTGATTGACTATTGATCTCAGTGGAGAAATGTACTCGTTACATCAGCTCAAATAGTCAAAGAATAAGTGCCAAAGGAAGTAAAAGGTGCATGGTATATATACAGTATATACAAAGAGTCAACATATGACAGCTTTTTTTTTTTTTTTTTTTTTTTTTTTTTTTATTTAATAGAAGTGTTGTCAAATAGCATCATATACCTGCATCCAATCAGGGACTGATTGTGCTGTTTGTTTAAGTGCAGCCTCCTCCCCCCCAGTTAAAATGGAATATAGAGCAAACAATATTGACAAGATTTTTTGGTGCCTTAAAAAAAAAAAAAGCCATTTTAATGTAGCCCTAGGAGGGCTGCTCGTTCTCCCTTACCTCCAGCACAGACCCTTATCTGCCACTGGTGGCTTTCTGCTCAGGTTGATCAACAATGAAGTTGATGAAAAAAGTGAACTTTTTTCAGTGCAAATAAGGTAAACATGCCCACTGTTATATTCAATGCCAGATCAGGAATGCCACGTTATGAAATAACTTTGAAAGAGCAGCAGCACTAACATCTGCTGGGATGACGACATCATTGGCCAAAAAAAAAAAAAAAAAAAGAAAATCCATCTTTCAGAGATGAATGGGGGGGACCGAAGACCTCTGGGTGATCCAAAAAATAAAACCTTTAATATCTTCCAACAGTATCACAAATGAATGGTTTGTCTTGTCTAAACAAAGCAGTCCATTTATCTGACTGCATATTGACCCAATTAGATTTTTAACTGAATGTTTTAGTGGCCCTTATACCTCATCCACCCAGACAAATGCCTAATTGCAGATTATCCTCAAAGCAGTATTGTGGAGTAGTAGAAATTTGATTTTTTTTCCTGAATTCTTTAAATCAGTTTTGTTTTGCCTTTCAATTGCAACCAGTATAAATAGCAAAATTCTGTTATCTAAAGTAGTTTGAGCCATTTAACAGTGACTTGAAATAGGATATGCTTTAGAACCAGAGTATAAAACAAATTCACTTCATTATGCTTTGCATGGGGCTTTATTCAAACCTTCTGAATCACTGCCGGACAGATTAGTCAGATTCAAGGTTTTTCATCAGTTAAAGTTGTAGTGTGCAACTTTGCAGCAAGCTTGCTAGTTTCTTCTTGATCGTTTGCAGTCGACTGGGTAGCCTCCTGCACAGCCTGCGAGAGCTGCTTGTTTTTAGGCTTCTTTTTCTAGGAAAGAGTGCAATAAAATACACTTTGTTTTTAAAATGAACAGAGCATGAAAAGACTTTATATAAACTTTACCTTCAGCTTTCTTGCAGGGTTATGAACCACACCATGTCGCAACAAGCTTTCCTGTTAATCAGAAAGCATTTCAGTCAACCCCCATGTTGGTATAAATAAACTGATACTTAGGATGTTAGGGGTTTAAGTCAAAGCTCTATTATTTGGAGCTCATCTTACATATCCAATACCGACATTAGGTCAGATCTGAGCATCTTTTCCACAAATGTTAAGCATTTAATTTAAAGTATAAGCTTCTTCTACTCTACAGTGGATCTATTTCATAAGACAGATTCTAGTTTTCCCTCGAAGAACACTTTGCCATAAACCTGAAGCCATCTTTTACCTTCAAGGCAAAGGTCTTCCCACAGCCATCATATGTACAGGTGAGGGTCTTTTCCAACTCATGGTCTCCCACCACATGCTTCTCCAATTTGAAGCGTCTGGTGAACTTCTTGTTACAGCCCTCTGTGGGGCATGCAAAGTACCTCTTCTCCCCAGAGTGCAAGCGGAGCACATGCAGGTGCAAGAACCAAGGGTTGTTGAAGAGCTTTTTGCACTCTTCACACACAACCTTCACTGAAAATGATACATTTTTTTAAATATTTAATAGGAGTTTAGAAAAAGCCTGCACAAATATAGCATTGCATTTATACCTTTGTGTTGTGCTCTGTGCTTTAGATATTCAGTCCATGTTTTACCTTTGTACGAACACTGTTCAATGGTGCAGGGGTAACCTAAAGAAAGGAGAAGTGTTGGTTAAAGATCGACTCTACAAGAAAAAAATAAAATAAAAGTCAAACCACCCTGGTGAGTTTTCTCATGATGCTTCAGTTTGCCTTGGCTCGGAAACTCTTTTCCACATCCACTGAATGTACAGCTGTAGGAAAAAAGTAGGAGAAGCTTAGAAGAGAGACCAACATTTGTAGATTTTCATTTTTAAAATGCATCCAACAAGCACTCACTGAAAAGCAGAAGGTTCCCCATGCTCACTCTTATGGGCATTTAGTTGTTTTTTCTTGCCAAAATCTTTCCCACATCCTTGATAGTCACACTAGAGGGGGAAAAAAAATACAAGTCTAGAAAAATAGAAGCAAAAGTCCATTGATGCAAAAAAAAGGAGGGAACTGCTGTACTTGATATCGCTTTTCTTGGTGCTGGTGGACTCGAGCAACATGGCTTTTCATGCTGGCATTAGTTGCAAAAACCTCCAAGCATCCATCAGTAAGACACCTGCAAACCAGGCGGGTAACCAACACCAACCAAAAAGGGGATTCTTACTTTAAGTAGGGGATGTCTTACTTGCAGGGTTTTTCACCACTATGCACCCGTTCATGCCTGGTGAGCTCATAGCGAGTGTAGAAGGTCTTCTCGCAGTTCTCACAGGAAAACGGTTTCTAAGACAAACCCACAAAATTGTATTGAGTGAGGCAGGAAGAAAAGGAGCTGGCATGCATGCATGAATTCGTTTAACCTTACCGATCCACTGTGTTTACACAGATGAGCCTCTAACTTCCATGACTTCCTAAATGTGGCATTACAATCAGAAAAAGAGCAAACATATGTGTTTTGACTTTGCAACCTCTCACCCATCTTTAATATCAGGTTTTGCAGCACAAGATCAAACAAGGATTTGTCAAATAAATCAGCAGGACACTCAATGACCTGCAACCTACAGCTCCACCTGGGCCTAATTTATCTAATTGGAATGTACCATATACCGAAATAAAGGGGTGCTCTGCCTGTTTAAGCTGAAACAAAAAACTAATAGGAGAGTGTATTTTAGACAATCCTCTAATCAGGTTTTGATCAGGGAATCCTGTTTTCTTTTTTTTTATTATTCTGTTTTTATTTGGGGAGGTTTATCTACTTTTTAATTTTTTATTTTGTTTAGATTTCTAAGATTTTTACTATTTTGGGGGGTAATTTAATTTCCATTGCAGTTTTATACTTATTTTAACTACAGTTAAAATCTTATTTTTATATTTATTTATTTTTTTCCCCCAAGTTTTTGTGTCAGTTCTAAGACAGTGCTCATATTTTGTATTGGATTTTTGCTAATTGTTTTGGTTCAATGCATTTTTTAATTGGTTTTCTAAATAATGCAAATTAATGAATTAATCTTTTAATGTATTTTATGATCAGTTTTATATTTACTTGATTAAGTTTTCATTTATTTTTGCCTTTTTATAGTTTCCCTTTTTTTCAAGGGATTTTAAAATGTTTTGTCAATGTTTTAGTTTGTGTGTATTTTCACCAATAAAAAACAGTACTTTTTATATTCTATAATTTCCATTTTTATGAATTTTTGAACTTGCCTTTCATAGAACAAACTGTAATTTCTGAATTATTTGCTTTTATTTTTGTAAATATTTTTGCTTATAAAATAGTTGTGATTATTTTAGTTTCTCTGCACAGTGCATCAATTTGAGAAGTTAATAAATTAAACACCATGTTACAAGATTTGAAACTGCAAAAATTAAAGCATATATTTTCTACTAATATATTAGAACAAATACATACTTTTATTATCCTTTTAGAGGCCATTACATGTGTATTTAATTTCTAGCCTTTAGAAAAAGGCGACAAACAATCCAGAGAGATGCTATCTGCTTGTCCAAACATTCCAGATCACCTTATGTGCCCAAGCTCTGCCCTCATGTGAAACCTTTGACTGACTTTTGTGAATAAGGCCTATTGAGAGTGTGTTGGGCGTTACCTTACTGCCCTCCCACGCTCTCAGGTGAGCATGCTTGGGTCCAGTAAACTCTGTTATCAACCCCTTCCTCCTCTACTCATCCGGCCCCCCCACAAACACCACCTCACTCAAGGGAAGGGATCAATACAGCTGGGCCTTATATCCACATATACCTCTGCGCCCACACCTGGCTGTCCCTGATAACCACAGGCTCTCACCCCACCTATCGCACACAAAGATATAGCATGCACTGGGATTTATCCTCCCTCTTTAAAGCCATCCCAAGCATTACCGACATCAGACGGATCACTGATGGACTTCTTCATGGAGTAATTTGATTAAATTGTGCATATTTCTTTATTTTCTTATCTAAAATATTTATCAGACGTATTTTTTTTATAAAACAAAAGAAAGAGAGCTCATTTTGCCCCATGTTCCACTCACACTCACACAAGTTTTTCATTCAATTTGTAATGGTGTGAGGTCATATTTGTATATCATGCTATTCAGCAGCTCCAGAAAAAAATTTGTTCATGTCTGATTATCTACTGTTTGCCTGTGTGTGTGTGTGTGTGTGTGTGTGTGTGTGTGTGTGTGTGATGTTAATGTGTAACGTCCCGGGTCGATACAGCTGCTCCAGGCTGCTGGCTGAGCTGACAGACTCAATCTGTGTGTGTCAAACTTGTGTGATTAAGGAGTTCATAGTGCTCTGTGGTTTTTATCCACAGGCCTGGTCTCTCTCTCTCTCTCTGCTCCACCTCCCAACTCATTGTGCTTCCTCCCTCTGCTGCCAGCCTGCATGCTTTTTCCTTCTTCAATCAGTAAGTTCCATGAGTCAGTGAGAATCCAGGAGAACAAAATAAGACGAAAAAAGAGAAAGATCATTGTTGTTAAATTATTTTCTTCAGTATTAGGCTCAAAAGTGAGAGAATATGGGACAAAGCTGTGCAGATAATGTTATCTGAATACTCCAAGGTAGACCCAGAACGTGGCGATCAATACCAAAGGCTTTGGCTGCCAGCCTGTTCATTGATTGATTGCATCTTGTTTTTCCATCTGCTTTTCCTGGTTTTATCTCTTTGGGTTGTTGGACACTTATTACTCTGTCCTGATAAGGCTGGTGTCTGAATCCACTGACCTCTGGCCAGCAGGGTATTGGAGTTGCAGGGAGACAAACATCTGTAGAGTTAAATAACAGAGAGCACAATAATTCATCATTTTATCTTCATGCTTTGCAATGCACTCATATTATTATTCAGCCTCTATAGCTGTTGAGCCTTTCCACATTGTGTCATGTCACAAGCACAGAATTCCACTTACCTTTGCAACGTATCTGTCTAGATTATCTAAAATATCCAGCTTCTCTCAAATTAAATCAATTGCAACCAAACTTGTTCAGGAGTTTATTAATTATTGCTTTCATCCTGTGATTTGATCTGAATAAAACGCCTGTCTATGAGAGTTGATGCATGTCCTCCTTTGCTTATTATTTGGATGTCCAGACATGGTGGTGGCAGCATACTGCTAAGGGGATTGTTGGTTTGTTTTTTGTGGAGACAACGAAGCTTATTAATGAGAAGGTTAATGGAATTAACTCCAAGGTAATACTGGAAGAAAACCAGTTAGAAGTTCAAAACAAAAAAAATAAAATATAAAGATGTTCAATGCTGACATTTTGGCAGCTGCACTTGTTTTTATCCCCCCTTGCTATTGGTTACTTAAAAAAATAAAATATGAAACATCAAAAGGTAGAAAACCCTATAATTTTTTTTTTTTCCACAAATTGCCTTTGCTTCTCTCCACCTCGCTAAGCCGCCTTATCTCAGCAAACTGGTCCTAATTTGTGTCAATATTGGGTAAAGTACTGAGATGGGGTAAGATAACCTATTTATCACATAACCAACCAGCCATTCAGCCTCCACTGATTAAACAGCACACATTAAGTGGTCCACACAAACAGAGGTTTGGCTCCTCAGACAATTTCCTTGTATCATACAAAACAAGACACGAAAAATAAGTATAACCAAATTACATGTTATCCTAAACATGGACAAAAATAATAGTAGGCCTATAATTTAACATATTCCTTCTAACCAACACTATTACTTGAAATGAACAGAATAACCTTAAATAAAATCCCTCTTATAAATACAAGAAAATCTAACACTGTTAACAAACCTTTTTTTTTTCGTTTCATTATGTCTGTAAATATCTAATAGAGAAATAAACTGTATTTTTTTCTAATGTGGGGTGAATAAAAAAGAAAAGCGATCCAAACTACATGAGATTATGTTATAGTTGTCATTATCTGCATTGTCATTTCACAATATAAAGAGTTACTATCAATAAAAATGCATATGTCTGTGAAGTCCTAATTGTTTTTGTCCTAGAGGCGCAGTTAAAGCTTTTAGTTAGTACGTAACACAATTGTGGCTCATACTGCCCCCTGCTGGGCAAACCATAGACTACACTCTATTGATATAAACACTGTTTGGAAAATCGCTCAAATAACAAAATACTTATCTCCTACTCTCTCACGATGAAAGTAAAAACTATAAAAGTAATTATGGCCTATACCTTTTTTTGTTTTTTTTGCATCTATTAAATTAGATTTAAATGGGACACATTTAACCCACTTTTAAACAGAATTCACAAAAGAATATATGTTTTTTTTTTTCCTTTTACTTGATAACCAATAACAATGAAGCATCTCACTTGGTTCTTTTATCTTTTTTTTTTTTTTTTTTGCATGAAAGGAATCTAAATTATTTTGGGTGCAAAATACAGAAAGTAAATTTGCACATTTGCTTCACCAAAACAGGCATGTAGTTTAAGGTTAAGGAAGTTTAAGTGAAACTAAACAAAGTATTTTGACTTTTTGCAAAAATAATACAAAGTTTCTTTTACTCTCTGTTCAAAAAGGGTTGCTTTACTTAATAAATTAATTAGAAGCCAATTTGGATGTATAGTTTTGAAGTTAGTGGACAGATGTGGTGATGTTTATTATGAATATTAAAAAAAGAGCAAAAAATTGTATATAAGTCTTTGTGTTACATTTAACATTTTCCACTGTTTGAAATGAATATAAAAGTCTCCTTCTGTACCAAGTATCTGTCCTGTTTTGCCAAATTATTTCTGAACTGCACATTACAGTTAAGCTGTAGCAAATAGACCCATTGGGCCACACTTTGGACACTCATGCTATAATAAGAAGGATAAAACATGAAGTTATCTGCAGTTTCTGACTATCGAGATTTGATATGAAAAGTGCAAGGCAAACACAAATTTACAAATCTGGTGTATAGTATGAATTTTAACCCCCGATGGTTGTAACATATGCATGTCTGTAATGCTGAGAGGATTACCAAAGACTAGCTTTACCAAATATCTTTACCTGTAGTGGAAATACTATTCTAATAACAATATTATTATTACTAATTATAGTTTTATCTAAACATAAAATTATATAAAACTAATTTTAAAAGAGCTTTGGTCAATTTAAAAACTGAGTTTCAAAACAGAAATACTCTTGAATGTATTATTTCAAAAAGGTATTCAATTAAATTTAACAAATATGAATGAGTATTTTAAGGGACAACAAAAACTGGAGATTCAAAACTCAATCTACTCAGATGATTTCCTAAATTTGGTGCTGAATAGAAAGTTAAAATCGCCTTTAATTTATCAGTTTGCATTTAAAACCTAAATAAATAAATTTAACAGCTTTTAATTTGGCTTTTGGTTTAACATTTTTTGTGTGCATAGGGTCATTCAGGCCACATTTATGAATACAGGAAATTTAAAGGCTGTTTAAGAGCAAAGTGCTTCACAAATACAAACTCTATTTAGTCATTAGTTCCTAAAATTTTATTATGGTACACTTAAGTTTCTGCAATATGTGAAAGAATGAGGTGGTTTGGTGGTGCACTTAACTTTAATGGGAGATGAAATCTGAAGTTTATATGGAATTAATGTTTCCGTGCCTAGATTCTTTATAATTTCCCAAAATCAAATTTTTTCCCCGTGATCACACTTCAAGCTTACGTTCATTTGAGGAATGTTTGCTCTTTACTGAGCATTTTCCCATGGATTTTCACACAGAAAACCAACAGCATATAGAAAGGTGTTTTTCAGAAGCTAAATTGGAACTAAAACTTTTATTTA